CAGCTCTACACCTTGTTATTTCAGATTCTCCAGCATCTGCAGTTCCTACTATCTCTGAAACATGCTAAAGGAAAGCTGTTTCCATCTTTGGCCAACTTGCAAAACGTGGGATAACACTAAGCTGTGCCATAAGGCCATTCTGATTGTTTTTATATTCTCAATACCTTGCTGTATGACTGTGAAACTTGGTGACAAGAAGCTTAATAATTTCTCATCCTGTTGCCTGTGGTACGTTATGGGTATACCATGGCACGGGAAGACCACGACTACAGTGGCCTTCTCCAGTACAGAGCTCCCAAATGTCTTGGTCCTATTCAAACAAAAGTGGCTTCAGGAAAACAGTTACATCCCCAGGGAACCACTGTGTGGTGAGGTTGTTGGAGTGGCCAAGGTTCTGCATCAAGGATGCTTGCAAGCATGTCTAGAAAACCATAGACATTGAAAATGGCAACACTTGTGGGCCGATGAGCCCTGCCACATTAACCAATGTTAACAGTAGCTTAACAACAAGTGCAACCACTCACAATACCACTCAGCAGCTTCACATGCTGTGCCTGCGACAGGACCTGCCTCTTAAGGATTGATCTTCTCCGCCATCAGCAAAGGTGTATCAAATGAAGGCATGTCCATTGTGTCTTGTAAATGGAAGGATGCCAACACAAATGCCTCAAATTGGATCAGGGCAGGAAGGCCATCCACGAGCCATCTTGCCCTGCTTTAATTAAGGCAAAAATGGGAAAGCAACTCCATCCCCACCCAGCATCCTCCTAGCCACTTAAATACCCTCCATCCTCCAAATTCAGCTCAGAAGAGGGCACTAATTTCTACTCGATGTTTCAGTGAGCTCCACATTTTTCACACTCTCTGAGTGAAGCTGTTAGAGAAGTCAGAAACCAGGTAGGCTATAAAGGATACTGTACTAAAGGGGAAAATTAACCTGAGTACATTAGGTTCACAGAATCGTCCACATTCCATGCATCTGTACAAGTGATACCATTTTATATAGAAGCAGCAACATAGTGTCTTTTCCATCACATAGATAGAAAACACTTAGGAGGCATATGGTGAGATTTTACCAATGTTAGCTATCTTGGTAATCAGGTAATGTTATGATTGAAAGAATGACCAAGGTGTGCTAAAGAGTAATTGGACCCAGTCTTGCTGGCCCCCAGGAGATGAGAATAGAGGCGGGGGGCTCATAAAATTGCAAGGAGCCTTGGTAGATCAGCTTCCTGGATATGTTCCACATTAGGTAATTTTACTGATAATGGGTTCGGAATTGGTCAGACTACTTACCACATAGAGGTGATCTGTCAATTTATATACATAAAGACCTTATAAAAGCTGCCAGCATTTCAACTCCACTTGCTACGTGGGAAGTATCCCAGCTAAACAAAGTCTCCCAGCAGGAGCCCAAGTGAAGAAGGGCTTTTATTTACCAAAGGCGGGTAACAGGTGGGGAAGACAGCATCTGCTGCTCCAACAAAATCCCTGGACAGGTTTCCCCTCCAGTTCTCGGGGCATGAATTTTTAAAATGTACGTTTTTTAGCCGGTCTTCCAAAGCTGCAGGGTCCCTGTCTGCTACAGCAGTGGCTGCAGTTTCCTCGTGGCAATACTGAGGCTGCTGAGCTGCCAGCCCTCTGATTTGGCCAGCAGTTCTTGAAAGGAACCCCAGTGGAACCACTTAATTAGCTGCTGCCCCTCAATTTCAGGTGGCAGGGTCACAAATTGACCATAGATGTCGGTAGCATGCATTTCCACCCAACTGGCAAAATTCAGCATGTTGTGCCAATTAACATATCAAGCAAATGAGAGCAGCCACATTGTTGTAATTTCATAATAATCTTTTTTAAATGTCAATTATTACGAGTACAATAATTTTAAACAACAAATCAAACAACAATTTTAAAGTGAACAACATCTTAAACTAGTATAATTAATGTATTTGTTGAGCAAATGTTTATAGTCGTATTTGAAAAGGTGCTTTGAACCAACCCAATATCTACCATAACAGTATAAGTTTGATGTTTATAAATAACATCCTTAACTCAATAGTATCATTGCCATCCCCGAGTCAGAAAATTATGAACCAAATTTGAATACAAAATCTAGCCGAAGCCATGTCCTATTGTCAGACATATTGATTTTCAGATGAGATGTTAAAATAGATACCCTGTCTGCCTGTTCGGCTGGATACAAAAGATCCATGGCACTACTAAAACTTGTTTGGGAGTGCTATGCTAGTAATTTGCTCAGTATTTATCTCTCAAATAACATCTTGCTCTTCGTGGCAAATAATTATGTATAAACTAACTGCCATTTTTGCCCACATTTCAAGAGCATTATAAGGACTGTGTACTTTGGCATATCCTTTGTTTATATACTGGTACTAGAGGTTCTATGCACTAGAGGTGCTATATACTGAAAGTTTATTTTGCCATAAAGCAGAAATTAGACAGAAATTAGCTTGAACGATAATAAAATGAACATACAACTTAATCTTTACATATAATCTTAATGAGCAGTGCAGCTTGTTTTATCAAAGAATTGAATCATCCTTTAGTTTGATCTGTTAATTTTTCGATTTTCATTTCGAAATGAGCTAACCACAGATATTGTTTGTCATTTTGGCAGGAGAACATTACTTGTTTTTCTTACCACCTGCACCTTATATATGATATCTGACTGCAAGCTCCACTTAGCCCATATTATCAATGATCTCAGAGGCCCACGATGCACTTGATTAATTCTATAAAAAGCAGAATTGTTATTTAACACTGTTCCTTTCCCCCTGCAGGTACAACTATAATAATGATGATCACGCACAGATATCATTGCAGACTTGGGTTAATGTGGTGACTGGCAAGATGATTGGTATAAACAGAGCTTCAAAATATGTACTAGTAACAGGAGACACAAAGGTGCCGTATGAGCATCTAATCCTGTGTACTGGACTACAGTATCAGGTATGCGTAAGTACCCATTTAAGCAAAATGTCGAGTGTGTTTGATTATTTGAAATTGTCGTACAGAACATCCTCGTTCCTTTTCTCTTTTTGCTAAATTCCTCTTGTCTACTCCTTTGTCAAGGCATTGACTCTTGGATGGGTTATAGTTTCAAGTGACCGTTGTGTTTGCATGCAAGGCTAACAGTGAGTGTCGATGACTGATTACAGAATATATCTCAGCCATTCTGAACATAACATAAAACCTAACTAGCATTTTCTCTTTCCTCCCTGTCACACCAGGGGGATTAAAATCAGAAGTGGTTAGTTTGGATACGGGTTAATGTCTAGATTTAGATATACAACATTTTAACTTCCCACCCAATCCAAACCACAAATTCTGGGTATTTAAAATTCTCCTCAATATATTTAATATAATAATTAGATTTAGAGATGTATTCAGGCCTTGACAAGTGTTAGATACCACTCTTGGAGGTGTCTAGATCCTATTATTTCTACTTGTTGTAATGTTCCAGCACAAACAAAGTACTTTGTAGTTTACAGTCTTTCTGGGTGAATACTGTAAGTAGTCCAAGATTACCATGCTAATGAAATTTGTATTTACAACATTGTCATGATAGGATTACAGTAATTTCAGCACAGAATGATTGAGATGTGACTCCGTTGTCGACATTGACAGTACAACCATGACAATTGCATATTTTTATTTCTGGTTATCTTTGAGAAGTCCTATGGGACATAGCTCTATATGAAAGGCACCATATAAATACAAGTTATTGCTCACCCATTACCCCTATTTTTGCTGACCAAAATTGACTGAAATTCCATCAACATCAACTTACAATTTTTGTCATGATACTTAAATTCTTTTGTGGTCAGCAACAATACTGGGGTATGGAGAAATCACCTTTTGAGATGTACGTTCACAGTTATGGAAATACAAAAATGGCCTTTTTGTATTATGGTGGTCATTCTGCAGAAATTTTGATTCTTTCATGAATAATAGCAAAGAAAAGTAGTTGGATGATATATAAGTTTATTAAAGTTGACTGAAATAGATTTCCTATTGTACAGGTTCCTTGTCCCACAGGAGTGGATATCAAAGACGTGCTGTCAAATAAGGATGTGGCTGTTGACCCTGACCAGCAATTTACAGGAAAAGTACCCTCCAATCTTTTTGTTCTTAATAGTCATGATGACTGTGAAAATGCACTACATTGGCTCAAAAAGCATGAAGGAAATGTTAAAGGTAGAGCTTTAATATTACCACAAGTATTATGATGAATACGAGTAGATCTTCTGGGACAATACTAATAGTGGACAGTAAATGCATCTAAATTTACACTATTTCCTACCCAAAGCCAATGGAAATGATGTGAAAACAGTGATTAAGGCAGGAAATTGGTCTGTGGCCAGAACTTATGCAAGTTATGGAATTTAAGCAAAAAGCCTATGCTGACTAAGCAAGTGATCACTGGCATAAAATTTGTGTTAATTGGTGGGTCTCCAAAGAGATACCACTGAGGGGATGGAAAGAGAAGACCAGGACTGGGTTGGCCAAAAATTCTTTGAGGTGTCTGGTAAAAGACTCATATTCATAGCATACATGAAATCCTAACAAAAATTTAAAAAAAAAACAGCTGCCTCAGCTTCTTCTGCACACTTTATTTTTTTCCCAACTTCAAATAAAAACTCATGTTGCGGTGCTAACGATATCTTTGGGTCACAATTTCAATATACTAAGTAGGCTTTAGGCCTCCCTGTATCTGATATGTCCTTGATTAAAATGGCAGTGGAAGGGAAATATCGTGAATGCTGCACAAAGGCTGAAACCACTCCAACTATCCACCTGTCATATTGATACCAGTCTGATATCTTCCCTATTCTGTTCTCTCCCTCACTTAATAGTGCTTTTCATCTGCTCCAAAAGACTTCTTCTCTTTGTCTTTAGATCTTCATCTCCTTTTCCTCTACAACAGCACACACCTTCTCTCTGACTCTTTTCTCTCCGAGTTCCTCAAGCTGTAACATTGCTGAAATCAGTTGGCAGATTATTAGAATGTTTTCATCACAGCGATAACTAAGAGCAGCCAGTTTGGAGCCCAACATTTCTCCCTTAAACCAACTCCAAAAATCACTTCTATTAATTAAGAAGGAACATATGGTATAAATTACATCACTTTGTATTGCAGGACATTTTACTAATATCACTCCAGACAAACAACAACAAATGATTTCAATATTTTCACTTTCTGATTCTATATTTCTCTATCTTTTCTTTCTCTGTTTTGTAATATTTTCCTTCCTTTGTTCAGTATTCTATTTCCCTTCCTCTACTTTTCCCTAGGTCTGGAATATTTTCTCCTTCCTTCTCTGGCTACTTTTGTGCCACAATGAAATTTTTTTTCCTTTCATGCATCTTGAGGCTTTTTTCTCAATTCTTCTTTTCATGTCAGGTCTTCTTTTCAGTGTCAGAGATACTGTGTGCAATCATAAATGTGATTTCAACTACCCACTTATCATTTTACCTAACAGTTTTTCCATCTTCTGATATCAACTCCAACAGAGTTGCAGAGACAAACGTAACTGGTGAGCTTTAATCCAGTGCAGCCATGCCCCCAATTATCGTCATGAAACGAAGATATTTCCCTTAAGTTCTGTCTTCAGTTCATTGACCTACACTGTTTTAAATAGAGTTGTCAATTTCAATACTGTACATCCCCTTGCTAAACCTCTCTCACTCCCTAACAGTGATCACCCTAATTTTCCCCCGTACATCGTACTCACCCTCCTCTCATCCCTGACAATGCTGAGTTCCACCTCATCAGTGCTCAGTCCCCACTCACCCCCAACAATGCACAGCCCTCTTCACCCTCCCATCACTTCCAGCAATGCTCATCCTCCCCTTAACACTTGACAATATTCACTCTCCCCATTCCAGGTCATTTCTTGACCTCCCATCCTAGCAATACTTACTACTTCCAGAAACAGTGTTCACCCTTTCTTAAAACCGCCCTCTGTCGACTCACTTTCTGGAATCCATGGCTCTTGTCTGGCCAATGTTGAGAGAGTCGGTATTGTTGGGGAGTGTGGGGTTTTGGGGTGAGAGGGGTAGGGTTGAACCTGTCACTTCTAGCAATACTCAACTCCTCTCAACCTCCCCGTAGCCCTCAAAAATGCTCAGCACCCCAACAATGCCCATGCTATCTTCACTCCACGTTTCTGCTCAACTCCTCTCACTCCAAAACCCTATACCTCACAACTCCAGATTACACTATTTCCAAATTCTAATCATTCTCTGATTAAAGATGCTTTTCCTGAATTCTTTATTGTATTTATTCTCTTATACTGATGGCTCCTAGCTTTGGACTTTCCAGAAGTAAAACATCTTCTTTCCACCTGCCCTATCAAAACTGTGGCTGCAAATTAAAACTAAAGGAAACTGAAACTATGAAGTGATACTTTTTTGTGTAATATAAATGGAAAAGGATTACAATACAATAAAAACAGAAAATAAAAACCTGTCTAGGAAAATTACCAGCCTCAAGGTACCTAACAGATGCAAGAAGTTTTAAGATATGTTTTATTTTTCAAAATGATGTAATTATGTTTATGTTTGTGATATCTTTGTTTCCTCTAGCTTTGTTTCCCAACTCTGCAGAAATTATTTGGAATTTTAGATGCGTTCCCATGTTTTTCAAATTTATCAAATATTTTAATTAACTGTAAATTGCAGTGTTGTTTAGAGCAACTAAACTGAAGAATACACACGAATATCCATTTAATTACGTGATTAACTGTTAATTTACTTATCAAGGGTATATTGTAATTATATTCATTTGAAATGCAAATGATTTTGCTTTATAATGAAGAATCATTTTCCATTTTAACACAAATTTGTCTGGTAGTAAGTGTAATTCCATTCTTGTAATTGGTCATCATATTAACCACTTAGGTACAATCTCCCAGGCTCCTTTAGGATTAATATAATGTATTTACAGTCTTGGTCAAGAAAGCATTTTCAACAAACCTGTTAATGTTTATAGGGTCTTTTATTTAGGATGTTGGTGCATCACGTTATGGTATTAAACATTTATTGTTCATTGCCTGTCACTTAAGACTGAGCAATTGCTGATTAATGACTATTTGTTGATATATTTCTTTACAATAATCCAGTTGATTAACAACAGTAATTTAACATTTGACTTCCTAATCCTTGTACTGTCTTGTATTATTAGCCATATTGACTATAACAAATACGAGTAACGAGTAAACACTTATGTTGTATTGTTTTACTGAATTGCATGATACATTATTTTGTAATGTTACGGAGGGGAGGTTGAACACTTCTGAAAATTAAAACCAAAGTGCCAAGGGAAGCTCGCCTCGCCTCGTAAACTGTTAAAGGAAATGTGAAAAGTGGTACAATCTACCTCTCACCCCCCAATCTGTTATAAAGGAGAGGTTAAATGAAATGAACTCCTGACAGTTACTCTATGATCAACAAGTAACAATTTATTTATCTAACTGTAACAGTGAACAAATTAACAGAACTACTAACAAATCAAATAATTCCCCCTTAACTACTAACTATTCCCAAATAAAACAAAATTCTAATGGAATGCTGTTACAAATAAATACAAGTCCCACTTATATATAACAAATTAATTTTTAAAAATAATTAAAACTTAATCTCTCAAAAATTGCAGCCAGGATAAGTCTTCCAGAATGTTCTGTGCATTCTCCACTGATATTCAGTTCTGTTGAATTCTTGAGTCAGGAATATTAGCTAAGAGTGTCATAGTATCTTTATTTAGATGGTGCTTACTCTGAGGGCTTAGAGATTTCTGTGAGACCCAATGAGTTTCTTTTCAGATGGCAGTTCACTCTCAGACCGATTTTCAAATGATCCCTTCTTTTATACCCTTGATGACCTATCAATTTCTTACACGAGGATTGGTCCTAAATTGTCAAAGGCATCAGATTTAAATTTAATTGGTTTTCACTGTCTAAGTGCTTGGTTTAAATTAACTGGCTGGTATTCAAACTGGCCAGCTTGCTAAAGAAACAAACTGCAGCTTTTTTTCTAACCGTATAGCCTTTGATACAAATGTTTCAATTTCGAGAGCTCTGTGCATCTGCAGACTTTTTTAAAAATCTCCAAGCCTAGAAAAGCACGTTATCTTTTAAAGGGACCATGCACTCTTCCCCCCTATCATTTTACAAACAAATTCTAACGTCCTGCCTTCTAAACCACAAGTACTCTACCCAGCTTCGCCACAGTAATAAGAACATTTTAGTATAAATAATTGTTCCTTACTAAAACATTTACAGACAAAAATCATTATTTTTCTTCCTGCAACTGTTTTCGCACTAATTATTTTTGTTAGCTTTCCATCTTTTTCTCTTTTTCGCAAATAGACACGTGTTTTTTTAATGGTTGTGTCTGGCATAAGAGGGATAGGGAGAGCTGAACGTGGATGTAATTGAGTGAAACATAGTATGCTGGATTGAAATATAGGCATTCTGAGGTATTATGTACAGATCAGGGCACCACACTATAGGACGGAAAAAGAGTAGAAGAGATTTCCAAGAGTTATCCCAGGGATGAGAAATTTCAGTTATAAAGATCAATTGAAATGTGGGTAAAGCACTGCTTCACCTGGAAGGTGTGTTTCTCAAAGCTTCCCAGGATCCTACCCTACTTCATATATTCCCTGACCTTGTTGGCCCTGCCCAAGTGCATCACTCACCTCATAATTTTCAGATTGAATTCCATTTGCCACTGACTAGCCCATCTATATCGTTCTGTAATCTAGGGCTATCCTCCTCACTATTTACCGCCCCACCAATTTCCACCTCATTGCCATTTAAAAGTCTAGCCCTATATATTACCAAAAGTGAATTTCGATGTTCTTATTTTTAGGGTGGCCCAATCTCACACACACACAAAAAAAAATCTCTTCTGGAGAAAGGGTTTTGTGGGCAGATTTAGGTTTAGCTATCACTCCATTTACACAATGTAGTAGTGTAGCCAATATCATATGGCTGTTGGGTTCCAACAATGTACCACTGCTTTGGTGTCCAGAACAAGATTCAGGAGAATTTGAAACCTGGTAATTAGAGTTCCAGTCTGAAACAGGTGGAAAGGCTTTTGAATATGTGAAAATAGAGATCCCACTTTGACCTAATTTAAATGCCAATGCTAGTTTCATCTTCACTAATCTTAACAATCATTGTTAAGTACTC